ACCCTATTCCAACCCGTCTGGCCAGCGTGGTACAGTAGGCCAAAACCTCCTTTCTAAGGAGAGGCTTATTATATCCAGCAGTGGACTATTAAAGGGCGTTGATGATGATGATGATCTTAAGGCTGTTTGCTCGATTCTGGATGAAAGATACCATATAGTAAATTGTATTTATACCCCTGGTTATGTGTTGCATTATTTTAGTGATGTCTGGTTAAGTACTTAAGCCGTATAAACGTTATAAATCTTTTATATAAAGTTCTCGTGTCATAATGTTAGTTACCATACTCCTCCGAAACGGCTAGACCGATTTTTATGAAATTATGTGTGCACATAGGGTAAGTCTGAGAATTGGCCAACATCTATTTTTCATACATAAATGACAAGGGTGACCCACCCCTAATTTGTTTTTCAATATTTCCTAGAAATAATGTATATGGAAAAACAACGTTTACCGGGTCAGCTAGTAAATTTGTATTATCACCCTTTTGCTACAGGTACATCATGTGACAACTTTCGAAGGTTTTTCAAAATGTAGGTCAAATATAAATAATTCCGACAGTGATTTCGCTTCTTTTAAAAGTATAAGACTGGCCTGTTGGTCTGGTTAGTGACCCTAACTGCTACGCCAGAGGTTGTGGGTTCGATTCCCACCCAGGACATATAATTGTGTGATGAGCACGGTCATTTGTTCTGCGTCTACTTTATCTATAATATGTATGTTTTTAGAAATATATAAGTATGTTTATCAGCGACTGGTTTTTAAAGTACAGGCTCTGCCTAGTTTAGGATCAGACGGCCATGTGTGAGATGTGTGAAATATTATTATTATTATTATATTTGCCCTTCCGACTTCGTTTCTAAAATTTAAAGAAAAGAAATAGTGGTTTAAATTTTTTTTTTCATGTTGGTTTTGACTTCGTTTTCACAACGGCCAAACAGACGTTAATTGAATCATTACTTACCAACAATTGAATCGAATCCTAGAAAAGATATTTTTTACTCGTTCTTTCAATATAAAATGCTAGGTTCTGGTTTTATCCAAGTTCATTCGTAGGCCTATGCGTACAGAAGAGTCAGCTAGGTCATTCAGCATCTATTGGAGGTTCTGCAGCGTCTCTGCCATAATGACTACGTCGTCTGCAAATCGCAAGTAAGAGATGTATTTGCCATTGAAATTGATGCCACGCCCTTTCCAGTGCAGCGTCTTCATGTCCTCCATTGCATTTGTGAACAATTTCGGCGACGTCGACATCCTCTTGCCTCACTCCTCAATGTAATGGTCTTGTTTGCTGATTCTGTACTTGGACTGACATGATGGCGGCTTCATAGAGACATCTTATCACTTGGATGTATCGCCAATCTACTTAGCAATGCTCGCTGCAGCATTGCTCACTCCAGAACCAGATTTCGATCGAGTCCACGGCCTTCTCATAGTCTACGAATGTTAGACACAGGGGCTGATTATTCTCTTCGGTCTTCTGTATAATCAGTCTATGGTGCTATATCCGAGAGAGTTCATGATGACCCTTAAAAACTGCTTGTAGACGTGGCTGAAAAAGGGTCGATAGTTCTTGAACAATCTCACTCACTGGGTGAAAAGTAGCAAAAGAATTGTTTAATCCTAATTTTCTCTAAGGCCGTGGTAACACTGCGGTCAAGTCGGCCCACTTAGGTCGAAACAGGGCCCACCCATTTGATTTATGCTTCAAACAAAAATTGATTACATTGCCCCATACGACAAAGAGGTTTATTGACAAACATTCATAGCATCCACATATACTCGTTAATGCTTTTACATATATTTAATCACCATCAACTTTATAACGTTAAGTAATTAGAGTAGAATATAAATATAAAACTCAGACCATAGATGTACATGTACACATTTTTACAATAATATATGTGTTGAAATTTCTCTTGACAAGACGACTAGATATGTAACGGGATCTTAAAGCCAACTCCACACTATCGCAACGCACCTTCCCATACAATCGCCAACATTCTTAACTTTTTAATTGCATATATTGCTCTTACTTTTGTTTTTATACAATACTCTTTGGTTGTTTATCATTAGACAGACAAAAAACTTATGCCAGTATTTATATACGACAAAAATTTGACTTTTGTCATAAAGGATGCGCTGGACAATCGACTCAAAGGAGCAAGTTGAAAAGTTGAGGTGCGAGGATGCGAAACGACTAAACAGTTTATTGGCTTCTGGAAGTGTAATAGTAATATTTCGGACACCAGACACACAACGCCATCTAGTTTCGAACTAAGCACTTGTACTATGAAAGCTAGATTCTCTGATAGAATATTTATATACTTTGTTTTTATAAATATATACATATTTTACATAGAAAACATCCAAACTCCGAAACAAATATTTGCAGATCATACAAACGTTTGGTCCCGTTTAGACCTGATCGAAACCAAGACCTTAGCACAGCAGTCGCATACGCTACCACTGCACCACCGCACCGTGTCAGTCAAACAGTGTGAAACAGTCTTAGATTATAGTCATGCATGATCACATTTGAAATATATTCATATAAAGTCATTTCACAATAGAGACATAGAAGAATGTTTTTAAAAATTTCTTATTTCAGAAAAATACAATAAGCATTGTTGTTAAACCGTCACTCTTTGATAGTGTAGCATGTTACTGGGAAAGTGTAGCACCGATATATTTTTTTAAATGATTTTTATTCATTTTAATACTTGTGCTTTGAATATTTTTAAAATGACTTAATTAGTGTGGTTTTATTAGAGTTGATTTTGATTTTTTGCTTTGGTAAATAATTTCTATCATTTTTTTTTGTTAGTGTTGGTGTTTTTTTATGTTATTTTGTTTATTTTAACAAGGTATTTATTATAAGTGTTTACTCACGTGTATATGCCGAAAGTTATCATTTTAATAAACAATATTAACCTACCTATCATTGCGATGACCGATTAAGGTTTTTAGTGTTTTTACCTTTTCCTGTACATATTTACATTTAAATCCAACCTTAACCTACATTAAAAACGAAGCATTGTTTGTTTTGAAAGTTGTGTACAGTTGTAAATGGACTTCAGGTTCGCTCACTGTTTATTACTAAGGCCATTTTTTGTATGTCTTGATCTGTTGTCTGTATCTGTACCTATTGAATAAAATAAAATATAGATGAATATGTATGCAATTAAATACAATATACCTGTTTTTAAGAAAGCAGATATTTGTGTCTGATAAAGTTCGCAAAAACAAAATCATTTAATTGCGACATACAATTGTTTATCTGATAGATAAATCTTAATAAAAAGTAGTAGCTTAAGTATATATAATATATATAAGAATGTAATAGGCAGTATTTATTTACATATAAATAAACGCAGATAAGAAATACATTTGTGCGCCTGCGACCTTTGAGTTTGTGTAAGTGTGTAGGTAACAGGAAAACATATCGAGTCCTAATAGTTTGATACTGTTTTACATGCGTTTAGTGCGAAATGTAGCATTATTTTATAAATAACGACATTCTGAAACTCAGTTGTTTCAGAAGTTTATTTAAAAGGGAATTATTTTACCGATTAATTGTTTTTTGAAAATTATTTACTTATCTACTAATATATTACAGTGCTTCTAATTATTAATAGCCAATCTAATCATTCCTTTATTCATTTATGCTCTGAGTTCTAGAGACTTCCATAAAAAAAAAAAAATTTCATACATAGAAACAAAACTAATTCTAAATTCTAAGATTTAAGTACTAATGAGTAGTAATCGAATCCAAGACGCAAACTCTTTTTTTATATTTGCCACTGATAATCACATTTAAAAAATAGCTAGACGGTGAGTTTGAAAGTTATGTTATCATTAAAGCGCAAGCATTTTAAAGCTAGTTAATGATAGAGATCATTAACTAGCTTTAAAATGCTTGCGACAACAGGTAACTTTAATACATTGAGATATTTTCCCATTAGATAACGACTTCAAAATTGCATTTTAATTAAAGATAATAAGTAATGACAACCGCCAGTATTGTTACAATATTCACAGTTTATTGTGAATGTTTGAAGTGAAGTGATATTAGTTCCATGTGGTTTAAACGTGTGTGGTTCTCCAATCATTGAAGGGTAAGAACGATAAGAATTTTTTTTTTACATTTTGATACTTTTAACAAGTATTAGGGCGTTTTAGCCCGCTCGTGTTTCGGCCCGCGGACAGAAACGCCTGAAGGCATCTTTTTTGTTGGTCTACTTGGCCCACATCAACGTGTTGGACCGAATCGCCACTCAGTTCTTTTTTAATGTAGCGATTAGCGTTAAATACAGTGATCAAAAGACTCAATTTCTTTCATTTATTAGAAATGTTCAATATATCTGTTGTGGGTATGGGAGGAATGAAACGCGTGAGGTTCAGGTGCCACCTGCTGGTTATTTATTGTCGCATCGTATTTATAGCGTACATAATACATGTGCCTCTCCACAGTAATCCCCCGATTAAAACAAAAATTGTAACATAATTTGAATATAATTCAGTAAAATAATAAAAGTAATTAATAAATTCATACTTCTTTCTTCGGTCTTTCATTGCATTTATAAAACTAAGTTTTCTTTCTATTACATACATCGCCTAAGGAAAGTTTATAATATGAACTGCAATCACATATTACAATAACATTACCGTGTGGTGACGGATTAAGAATACAGAGTGTCACCACCCCTATTCATCCCGTGGGTGCCGTAAGAGGCGACTAAGGGAGTAAACTACGCAGGACAACAGCACTGCAGAGAGAAGGAAAACTTGACACAAACCCTATACCAACCCGTCTGGCTCTCTTGGTATTGTAGGCCAAAACCTTATTTCGTACTCCGCACAGACTACTCTAAATCGTGCAGAAAGGTAAAATCTCGTAGTTTATGTTTGATATTTTTTTAATCTATTTCATTTCTTGATTTTCAGTGTTACTTGTATAGTCTGCATTTTTGGCGAGACAACGGCAGCAATAGGCTACAACATGAATTCTGTTCTTGGTCTTACTTCGAAGAATCCCAGCTGGGATCTAAACAAAAGTAAATGTAAGTATGCTTTTATTATTTAAATTAAATCTTCAGTTGCAAAAATATAGTAGTTATGCCTAAAAAAAAACATAATAAATATGAATTTATTTCTGACAGGGACAGCGTAGGTATTACAATATTGTATAGTAAGATAATTCTGGACGGATTAGAATAAATAAATAATCATTAAAATAACATAATAATTATGCGTGAATGAAACATGAGGCATGTGAGTGAGTGTATGAATGAGTCATTGGTCATGAAAATTATTCACTATCGCAAAAAAAAAACAGGAGAGACAACAAACCGATTTACTTCTAATTTTCACATTAATACTTGTTAAATTATTACCTATTAATGTTATCAATTTTTAATGCCAACGCAATAAAACTGTAAATTATTTATTTTTATAGTAAATAATTTACGAGAAAAAAATCACACTTAATTCACAGTTACAAATGCTGGTCAAAGATATTAAATATTGTGACTGCATGTCGAGTCAATATATTATTAGCCATACTTGGCCTGCTAGGTTTTTGCTTGTGAATTATTGATATAAGAGGTCACCAAAATATGGATGTCGCAGTCATGCTGTGGTACGCTTTCAATTTAACACATTCTCCGTCATACCCTGAGCTAATCAAGACACATGAAGAAAAAGAGTTACCCAAAGGATTAAAATTACATGAATTTAGACTGTAGTTTGGATGTAGGGCTTAAACCAATATTATTCCAATAGCTATTTGGAAGTATAGATTTTTTTTGTGTTAGAGGGGGCAGACGAGCAGACGGGATGGCAAGTGACCATCGCCGCCCATGAACGTCTGTAACTCAGGAGTCACAAACGCGTTGCCGGCCTTTTAGGAAGGAGTACGCTCTTTTCTTGAAGGTTTGAAGGTCGTATACGACCGATGCCAGTTTTCCACTTCAGCTGAGGTATTAGTAATCCAAATATGTATGAAGCCTAAAATTTTTACTGTTCTTAATTTCTTGAACATACACTGAAGTAGTTAACGGATTCGCTCGTCATGCATTCTGAGCACCATACGTCTTCTGGCCCAAATCCTTATTTTTTTGTTTTTGTAATTATCTATCTAATAAACACCAAATTACATTGTAAAGCATACGGCTTTACAATGTCATTTGGTGTTTATTATATAGTCATTTACCAGTAGATATGCAATTCATAATGCAATTTTAAAATGTACAATTCCAACAGAACGTCCTTTACATCTGGATTATTGTAAATGCTGAAAAGCTGCTCATCAGTGAACAATTCTGAAGATAATATAAATAAGACACTAGAATAAGTACCTGCACGTCTTTCGACTTTAAGAAAGATGTCGTCAATAATGAGTTAGTGAGAAATACTATCGCTGAAGTATATATAAGAGTGTTATACTAACATATGTAGTTCTTGTTAGTAGTTTCATATATCTTGTAAATAATAGTTCGCTCTCGGCCCGCGCGTTCCTCACCCCATAAGTCATTTTACTTATGTAAATGTGAGCTTAAAAATATCTATAAACGTAGGAATTCTAAAAACACATGTCCTGAATTGATGTTATCCTTAGTGTATTACTTTTTTTGCGTTTTAAAACCCAGCGTATTTCAAATAAACTCCCGATGCTTTTCATAAATTTTATTCCTTCCAAGAATGTAAATTTTGGGGGATAAAAAAGTTTAAAACTTTTGTCACATTAATTAATTAGCTAACTTTATTTTAATTCAGATATTTTTGGATGATAGCCTTATAATTTTTCATTGCAGCCACGTGGTCACACCCGATTGTCACACCATTGTGAATAACAAGATTTGTTTTCTTGATTGTCACACTGTATAATTTCTACGCTTTTTTCTACTTGTGATTATAGATTAGTAAAGTGGCATAAATGCTTTGCTGATTTCCATTATAATGTCAAAAATACAAGGCTTACACACCCACAAAACAATTTTCGTAAATAAACAAAAATTCGGTAACAAAATTGGGAGGATATTTTTATCACAGCATTTCAAAGAAATGCCCTTAAGTTCAGTATCATTTGCATAAAAGTATACGTATGATTTACAAAGTTGCATACGTATACTTTTATGCAAATGATAATTTTATTTCATATCTTTTTTGTCAACAGTGATACGTATGAATGTCACCAGAATTAGATAACAAATAGCACAAGTATTTGCAAAAAATAAAAATTAATTAAATAAATAATTATAATAAATAAATAAATTGTTTATTTTTTATTATGAATGAAAAGCTAATAAAAATTTATATTATCGACAAAAAGTTTTTATTAGCAATTTTTCACTGCACTTATTAATCAGTGACAAATGGTGTAAAAATTTTAACAGTGAGACAATCGAGAAAAAAAAAGGTCAGGTACGACCCGAACTCGTGCGCCGAGGGTTCCGTACCTAGCCAGATCTTACGTAGATTTTCGCGAAAATTTGTAAGTACCAAAATTTATCTTAATTTTCAACTTTTTTTGTTTTTTGGAATTATTCCTTTATTTGTGCTGTAAGACGTTTCTCTTTGCCAAATTTCGTGATTCTAGGTCAACGGGAACTACCATATAGGTTTTCGACCTAAAACCTATAGGGTACTTACGGTTGACCTAGAATTGTCAAATTTGGTTAAGAGCAAGGTCTTACAGCACAAGTATAGAAAAAATTGTGAAAAATAAAAAAAAAATGAAAATTAAGGTAAATTTTGGTCCTTACAAGTTTTCACGAAAATCGAAATTTGCCCATATCTTTTTATCGCGTTGACTCAGGACCTTGATTTTTATACACCTAATAGGGATCATAGACCTCAGTATCTAGTGTAAATTTTAACTTGCTAGGTCTACCCGTTCCTGAGAAAATCGGTGTTGACACACGGACAAGAAAGTGATCTTATTAGGGTTCCTTTTTTACCTTTTGAGGTACGGAACCCTAAAAACACCTAGTAGTCACACTGGTGTGACAAAGTGGTGTGACCACGAGTTCGCAATGTGCTTTTTAGGGAATAGAGGTTGCCTATACACTCGAGGCTGCCTATACACTATACATAACTTTTATCAAAGTTATTTGCAATTGTAATCCTTTAGATTTAGTGTTGTTAATTCTTCACTAGCAGTATTAATGTTTAACTAATGTATAACTAATATTATTATGTGTAGATTTTTGTTTATTGGCTATATCGCCTTGTTTATTGGCTATATCACCTATACATTCGATCTAACTCTGGATTGAGAGCATCTTGTTAATCATTAAAAGGAAACATACTCTATCAAAAAAAAAAACACTATTTTTATGGGCAAATAAGCAGATGGGATACCTAATGGTAAGTGGCTAGCACAGCCCACAGTCACCTGCAAGTCAAGAGATCCAAGAATGTTACCACCCTTTGTGTTACCCCCCCCCCCTTTTTATTCCTGTGCGGAAATCCCCTTGGATATCACTTGTGGGATGATAAAGTTGGACTGGAACCGCCCAAAAACCACACGCCGTCTCTGGTACCAGCAGCCGGGGAACCAGGTGTACCCTAGAAAGGAAATCCCTGGGACCCCAACGTACCCCGGGGCATCTACGGCATTTTGATGTTCATAGTTCATATTTCATTTATTAAGAAAGAATCACATAATTGTGTAACGATTCGTAGTAGTACAAAATATTCAAAAATAAAACCATAAATAGAAATACCCCCTCCTGTGTGGGAACCCCATGTTCCCTTTGAGCTCCCGAAGGTCGCGCGCTCCGCAGCGGCCTCGACGCCGCCTGTGTCACTACCCCTTTTTTTTCTGTGCGGAACCCCTCGGATACCACCCACCAGTGGGTGATTATGTCGGACTCGAACTGACCAAAAACCGCACGCCGTCTCCAGGTACCACCCCTAGAATTAGCAGTCGGTCTTCCATTTTCAGAAAGTAAAGAATGAGTTGCTTAACACCGTTTTTCTTTTGTATCATTCCAGTCGAGCTTGCCCATACGAGCTCTCCACGGTAGTTGACATCAGACAAAAGATTGCGATAGTTCAGTTTCAGATTTAATTTGCAACTGATAATATTGTATTATTCCAAATCGCTTTAATCCAGAGACCAGATCAGATTAATGTAGAATTGCAAATTCAATACAACATTTTATCATTTTCAGTTGAAGAAATTGATGACCTACCCTTCATGGCATCTCTTGGGCCAGTGCTCACTATTCTAGCTGTATACTTAGTATTCGTGATGAAGATTGGCCCAGTATTCATGAGGAAACGACAAGGATATAAACTGACATACACATTATTAATATACAATGCTGTACAAGTGGCTATATCTGTTTATTTGGTGTACAGAGTGAGTATTATTTTCCTTCTACTTTTCAGTAGACTCTGATGACGAAATCATTTATAAATTACGATAGGCTTGAAGGCAAGTCTACTGTTTTCAAGAATCGTTCTTTGGCAATATTTCAAGGAGATCATTTAGTGTTTTTTTTTTTGCACAGGAGGAAAAGAGCATATTTAAGCATAAACTGATTTGAAAAATATTATGGGAGTGTTGTATAGAATTCTAGGTAAAATTTAACTTGTTGATTAGTTAATTAATATGTTAATCACATCACAGATCAACAGCCTTTAATAGTCCACTGCTGGACATAAGCCTCTCCTTACAGAGGAGGTTAATATGTTAATACGTGAAGAAAAGTCTTTGTATATATTTTGCAGTAAATACTTAATGTAGAAGAACGGCAGAATACTATTATTTTTTATAACACGTTCTATAAAGTAAGAAATTTTTTTAAAATGACTACATGAAGATATAGATGTCAAGTACACATTTGACATGTCATGACGATTCAAGTTACAGTAGTAAATGAAAGGTCTCGAGTTCGATTCCTTGGTCGGACTAAACGTTTGTGTGATCGCCAAATATTTATTTTGGAGTTTGGGCGTTTTCTATGTATAATATAGAAGAAAGAAAGATACAAAGAAAGAAGTATACAAGTTCTATTGGTCTATCAGTCAATCTAGCATTCATAGTACAAGCTCTGCTTCATATGAAACTAGATGGCGTTGTGTGTCTAATGCCTGAATATTATCATATTATTATTATTACATAAAAATACCTTGAAAACGACTCAAATTATATCGGGAGGTGATTTCTAGTAGAATGGATTGTTTAATTAGTCCATGTTAAAACTAAGTTTCGCTCAATTTCTCAGCAAAACCAATCCCCAAATTTTTCGATATCTAACTCTAATAAACACTATGGATGCGATGTTAGTAGTGACACAAAGAAAATTGTCTGCACGGATGGCGTAGTGGTGTGGTTTAATCAGTCACCACGCCACTTCCTACAGCGCTGTGCTTTGTGTGTTTCGATCTCCACATGAGACGACACTTTGTGTGATTCACAAATTGTTGTTTTGAGTCTGGCTGTTCTTTGTCTCGGTTTCATGAATATTTGTTAAGTCCATCGTGACACAGCTCATATTTCTAGTGCGAAAGTTGTCTTAAAAAAAACAGAAAAAATATTTCTTAGCTTTGGCATGGTTTTTAGTTCTGTTTGACAACAAAAAAAAATGATTTTTCATTGAAAATATTTGTTACTATAACATTGACATATTAGACTAAAAGATATATATTACGATGTGTACTAATTTCTACGAGGCGCCTGTAGAAAAATTTCAGCAACCAACCTACATCTGTTAATCAATTTGCCGATTAAATAGGCACTCAGATTTTAATATAGTTTTCTAAATTATTAATACTAACATAAACAAATGGACTTATTAAAAGTAATACATATCATTAATTAATTATATAAAGTGTATCGGGAAAACGAAAAGCAAAAAGAAAAATTTAAACTTTAATATTCCGATTTCTTAAAAGAAAAAGATTTAATACATGTATGTAACAGATGCCCGCCGTTGTGATTTTTTATTTATTTATTTTTATGTATTGCTTTTTAGTTTTTCATGGACTTATTAATGATGGGCTTAGTACCAAGACACTGTTATATGGATGAGGGCCCCTCTCGGAGCAGGGTAAGTGTTTTTTTTTAATTTTATTATTAAAAAAGAAAAAAAACTACTTTTAAAAAAGTGTAATTATTGCGTCAATGATTTCTTTAAATGATTTCTATTAATACACTTTTAGTAGCTTGGTATGTATGTATGTTACGGAATCTTCGAAAGTGATTTTGGCCCACTACAAAACGTCAAATTAAATTGAAACTTTGCTCACTTACTAAGGACCGAGGACCATTATCCTGAACAGGACCTTCAGTTTTAACAGCACACAATTCTGTTTACCTTAGTAAATAGTAATTTTCATGCCACCTCGATTCCGTTATGTGCTTACACGTACATACATATGTATGTATACTGATTCCGTCAATACATGTGGCATATTGTATGGAGATTTGCGAAAAGGTCAAAAACAATCACGTTACGCGAATTTTCAATATTAATATGAATTACTTAAATTAATTCGAATGATCCGTATACTTATACATATGTAAACCTTACTTTTTTTGTAAATACGAAAGTTTTGGAGGGATGTATATTAATTATTCAAAGACGCCAGAACAGCTGATAGGATCTGGATGAAATTTTGCATGGAGATCATAGTCTGGAAGAACATAACGCTATAAATACAAAATCAATATTACGCGAGCGTAGCCACAGGTAAAACTAGTTTAATTGATCAGTTACAATACAAAAACATACTAACACTATGCAAAGACATTATAAAAAAACCTTCAAAAAAGGAAATAAATTTCCTAGAACCCGATTATAGTAGATATAAAAGTACAAAAAGTGGACATAACAGTGCAAAATAATCCAGCAATGGATCTTTACAACGGATTTTAGTGTAGCAAACATTTAAAAAATAGTTAAAAGAAGAAGAAGTGAATTAGTTATAAAAATAGAGTACAATAGCACAGCAAAGATAGGGACGTTGATAAAACGATCCGATTGGGGAGTGCGATCAGGGTGATCATGCCAGCGTTGCACAAGTTGGACTCGAACTGGCTGTCAACGGAAAGTCTGACCTTCTAACCGACTTCAACGCGTATGAATTCTGCCTGTCTGTATTATTCATCCCTTAATTCTCCATACTTTCAACTTCAACATATTGGCATTAACGGCTTAACGAAGGCGTCCCAAAAAAAGTTTCAACCATCCCATTCTCGTTCGCCATACTTAGTTGTTGATAATTGCCCCAATTGGAATATACTTGATCAATTTAACTAATTTAATTTAAATAAAAAAGAATAATGATAGTCGGTTAACATTTGGCAAAAGATTTCCCATAATAGCCAAATTCGATCTAAGTAGCGTGCAATGGGAGAGGCCTATGTCCAGCAGTGGACTGCGATGTGGCTGATGATGATCGCATAATATTCTTATATTTTATACATTAAGTATTCAGTCAAAATGAGAACGGTCACCTTTTTGAAGTTGCTCACAATTTAATATGTTCAAAAGGAAAATCACTCTTAGTAGATTCTGTTCTTATATTTTTTTTTATTTTCAGATTCTATTCAGTACATACCTTTATTGGACTGCGAAACTTACCGAACTTTTAGACACGGTATTCTTCGTGTTGAGAAAGAAGGACAAACAGATTACCTTCTTACATTTATACCACCACACTGTAATGGTTATTGGCACATGGGCTTTGCTCAAATATTGGCCATCTCATACACTCGTATTCATTGGCTTCCTCAACTCCTTAGTGCATGTGTTTATGTATACGTACTACGGATTGGCAGCGTTGGGACCAAATGTGGCCAAATATTTGACGTGGAAAAAACACATGACAAAGTTCCAGTTGGTAAGTTACAACATAAAGTAATTTGTAGTAAAAATGTATAAATTGGGACATTGCTTCTTTTACAGATAAATAAGTACAGTGGGCACTCTACATATATTGTTGTGCACTATAATGATCGATGGGCCTGTTGGTTTAGTGGTTAGTAATTCCGACTGCTAAGCCAGAGCTCGTGGGTTCGATTCCCAACAAGGACAATAAACTGTCTGATTATCATGATCTTGAATCCTGTGACTGGGTGTAATTTATCTAAAATATGTACGTATTTAGAAATATTTAAGTATGTTTAGCAGCAGTGTAGTTACCACAGTAGAGGCTCTACCTAGTTTGGGATCAGATGGCCGTGTATAAGGTGTAATACACATAACTAAAAACTAGAAAATAATTTTCTATAAGTAAAAAAATCCGTCACTATAAATATTTCCCTGGAGGCCACGGCACTCTTATCGGAGTGATGAACTCTTTTGTGTATATTGTTATGTACACATACTACATGTTCTCCGCCATGGGACCCAAATACCAAAAGTATCTATTTTGGAAAAAGTATATCACCACGCTGCAAATGGTACGTAATGTAATTCTCTTAAACAATTACAATCAAGTCCGTGTAGTGACGGATTCGTCCGTGTAGTGACGGATTAAGAATACGGAATGTCACTACCCCAATTCATCCCGTGGGTGTCGTAAGAGGCGACTAAGGGCGCAAAACAACGCAGGACACCAGCACTGCAAAAGGAAGGAAAACTTGATACAATCCCTATACCAACCCGTCTGGCCAGCGTGGTATAGTAGGCCAAAACCTCCTTTCTAAGGAGAGGCCTATGTCCAGCAGTGGACTATTAAAGGCTGTTGATGTGATGTGATGTGAAGTAAAAAAAAAAGTTCTTAATGAACTTACAGAATATTACTAATTATCATAAAAAAACTCCCGGTGCTTTTCAAGATATTTTATAATAAAATAACTTTACTTTTACCAATATCTATCAATAAAATATTTTCACCACAATTGTATTAGGACTCGAATCATACTAAACCGATCATAGAAGATGAGTCTAAGAATATCAAACGATTTGCTCGTACGGGCAAAAACATTTGCAATCTTTCGTCAAAATCTTAAGGCTATTAGAGCTGAATTAGAAAGCACAAAGTTTACAGATATTTAAAACATACAGGATCCTAACAACGCGATATCTAAACCTATATCGATAGTATCCAATATACTAAAAAAAACACTACACAAATTAAATTACCAAGAAAACAAAGAACACTTAAAATTTTAGATTGATAAATTACATGCAAAATCTAAAAAAATTTTAGAACGCAACGAAAGCAATAGAACACAAAACACGAATATTTTGCGAATTTGCGAAAATTAAAGAGAAGCTATGAAAAGAGTGAGTTAGAAAAGTCTAAAAACAATCCCAAAGCCCTGTGGCAGACAATCAAAGAGATTACAAATACCTACTGCAACTCGCTACTAACAGCAAACCTACTGAACTCTAGTCCTACTGAACATCTCACATTACATATGTGATAGCCCAGTAACTTCAGCAAACCGAGTTTGTTCTTACTTTTTTATTATAGGTAAAAATATGGCAATGCCAATACTAGAGGACACAACCAAAACTTTTCCTATTTATAATACACCCCGCACGGTTGACAAACGTAACCGCGTATCTCCGGTTTACTATCTCGTTAAATAAAACGTAAGTAATAAAGAGGTACACGCTATCACACAACGATTGCACAGTGATGCCGCTGTGGGCTGGGATGACACTGCGCAGGGGTGCCGCTGTGGGCTGGGATGGCACTTTTTTTTTATACGTGTGGAAACCCCCTCAGGCCGTCACTCCACCGGGGTTTGCGGTAGGGTGGTGTGTCGGAATCGGACCGACTAAAACCACACGGTGTGCCACTCTGCGCCTGTTATAGGAGAGATCCGGACTCCTCCTAGCGCTTGCCCGCAATGGCGCGGGCACCAACTTCGGGTACATTCTCCATCCATTTCTCCTTGCGGCTGGCCGTTATGGAAGATGGAGGGGAAAACCCGTCCCGTCCACCCGCAGCCACACTCAAGTCGGCATGAGGCGATGGTAAGCGCAATAAATGCGATGGTAAATCAATTTCCTCCTAGCGACCGAGTGCAGGTACTTCCCGAAGCAGCCGTGACCGGAAAGGACCTACGTCAGTCGGAAGGAAAGGGTCCCGTGCTGCCGCCCTGCCCGCTCGATGATGACCGGCTGCAGCGCCTCCTCTGTGGCAACCAAAGAGCCATCGTAGCTCGGCAAACGGCCTCACGCCACTCGCGTAAGGCTGGGATGGCACTGCGCAGGGATGCCGCTGTGGGCTTTGATGGAACTGCGCAGGGATGCCGCTGTGGGCTGGGATGGCATATTCTAGTACCACCAATAACATATATAACTAAAATTTTAGACGATTTTACGATAACATTGTATACTAGTTATCTATTTATGTTGTGTGGTGTCTATCTGTTATCATCGATAATGTCTTTTTCTCATTATTCTGTGTAGTATGTTTTTTTCCGTCTACTACTACTACTGCTACGTTACTAAATAATATATTCTATGTATTTAGTGTAGTAGCAGCTACTACACTACAGCTACTACACAGCTACTACACTACAGCTACTACACATGGGAAATAAGACCAAAGCCAGCATGGTATCCCTGTTCAACAAAATCTATGATACGGGCGTGATTCCAAATGACTTTACCTACGCTCCACTTTTGTCACAATACCCTAAAAACCAAGAGCGGTCAAGTGCTCAGATCACCGTACGATAAGCTTGATGAGTCATACCATGAAAGTGTTGCTGAGAATTATCTATAACCGAATCAAGAACAAGTGCGCGGATACCTTATGTCCGCAACAATTCGGTTTTAGAGCCGGCATGGGCACAAGGGAGGCTATATTTGCCGTCAACACATTGGCAGAGCGAGCACTCGAACACCAGCAAGAAGTGTATCTGTGCTTCATAGACTATGAGAAAGCATTCGATCGCGTCCAGCACTCTAAGCTTATGGAAGTTCTGAAAAGGAAGGGATTAGATGGAAAGGATCTCAGAATTATTGGCAACCTCTACTGGAAACAAGAAGCAGCAGTCCGGATCGAAGGGATGTTGTCAGACTGGAAACTGATAGCTAGAGGTGTCAGACAGGGGTGCATACTTTCCCCTCTTGTTTTCAACCTATATTCAGAGGATATCCTTACAGAGTTACTACGCGATAAAAGAGAGGGAATACGCGTCAATGGACTGCTGGTCAATAATATAAGATATGCAGATGACACAGTGCTTATCGCAAACTCAGAAGCCGGACTGCAAACTTTATTAGATGAAGTAGCAACTGCGGGAGAAGCTATGGGTTTCTCAATTAATGTTCATAAAACGAAGACCATGGTTATAGCGAAGACAATGATGCCCACTCCAAATATAAAGCTTCGGGGGGTAGATGTGGCAGGCGTTGGTGGGTTTAAATGTCTTGGCCGATACTTTACGAATGACCTAGACCATTTGGAAGAGGTGAAATGTCGAATAGGACAAGCTAAGACTGCTTTCTTCAAGATGTCTAAGGTTTTATGCGACCCAAAAATCCCATTTCCTTTGAGGCACCGCGTCATGAAATGCTACGTTTGGTCCACACTGTTGTATGGGTGTGAGACGTGGGTCTTAAGGAAAGAAATATGTAACCAACTGCAAGCCTTCGAGATGTGGTTATTGCGGAAGATGTTTAAAATCCCGTGGACTAGTTTTACATCCAACGTAGAGGTGCTGGAGCGAGCCAAGTGCAGGAGAGAACTGATGGCGGTTATAGCGAAAAGGAAGGTGGCCTTCTTTGGACACATACAAAGGGGCCCGCAACATGAATTCCTGAGGCTTCTGTTAGAAGGAAAAATACCAGGCAGGAGGCCACCAGGTCGACCACGAAGGAAGTGGATAGATGACATCGTGGCCTGGACCGGACTGCGATATCGCCAACTAAAGGAGGCCGCTCATGATCGAGGGGTGTACCGTCTGCTGACCTCCAAACTTCATTTTGAGGATGGCACCCCATGATGATGATTTAGTGTAGCAAAAATCGTTTAATAAAGTCAAAAATATCTTAAATTATTACCAATAATGTTTATTTAGTCACTCTGCCTCTCTAAGTATGTTTGAATCCGTAGGCTGAAACAAGCAATTCATAGTCATAAAAGGTAAACCTTCCGTAGGTATTTCAGCCAAAGCTATAAAAATCGATTACAATATCGATAAAACGTTGCCTAATGTAATAATGCCATCACGCATCCGTAGTCAGTTAAACTTGATGGCAAATATGTCAGACATACGTAGGAGTACGTAGGTCAAATAAGTTCTTCAAAAATATCCTATCTCTTTAAGATTTTACAACACATGGTAGTTGTTAGCTTTGCGATGAGGTCAACAAGTCATCAAAAGCCTTTACTAGTCCACTGCTGGACATAGGCCTCTCCTTAGAAAGGAGGTTTTGGCCTACTATACCACGCTGGCCAGACGGGTTGGTATAGGGTTTGTGTCAAGTTTTCCTTCTCTCAGCAGTGTTATTGCCCTGCTTAATTTGGTCCCTTAGTCGCTTCTTACGACACCCACGGGATGAATAGGGGTGGTGACACTCTGTATTCTTAATCCGTCACCACACGGAATGGAACCCGTGTCTACCCGATTCGGTTAGATCGCAAACTGATTATTATAACGTGTGTAATCTGTGGTGACTTGTGGAGACGGATTAAGAATACAGAGTGTCACCACCCCTATTCATCCCGTAGGTGTCGTAAGAGCCGACTAACGGAGAAAACTACGCAGAACAAAAGCACTGCAGAGGGAAGGAATACTTGATACGAACGTGGTATAGTAGGCCAAAACATCCTTTCTAAGGAGAGGCTTATGTCCAGCAGTGGGATATTAAAGGCTGTTGATGATGTGTGATGAATCTGCGCTGTATAAGAATTTGATGACGCTCAACGCCCGTACAAACACGGGCGTTGCACCGTACAGTAGTGTAATGATAAATCATAGAAAAATATTTATTAAGTCTTTAGGTAAATATGTTCTGTTCTGTTCTTTGGTTGTTTTTCTATCTTCACTCCGAGTAAAGATAACTCTCCATAACTATAAAACGTGCCAGGTCCCGTGAATTGCGTTGTAAACACTCTCTTCAAGGTTTAAGGAATTATCTGAAATTTTTTAACGGCAACAATTTTTTTTGATTTTAAATACTCCCGATGAAGTCACCTTTTTAATAAAAATAATGAATCAAAACCATTCCATCCATTGATATACTTATCAAAGGGTGGTCCTCAAACATACTAGATCCCTTTTTGCGCTGAGCGTGAAGAAGGTGTACAAATGTACTGTGTATTATATTATACTAGCTCTTGCTCGTGGCTCCGCCCGGGTGTATGTCGGTTATCGCGGTAAAAAATAGCGTATGTTATAGGTACCAACACCGATCTTGAGCACTGACCTTTAACTGCGCAGGAGTCGATTTTTAGAACACTTTTGAGGTATGAAGTATGACGAGGGGGCAATTAAATCACAACGTCAGCCAGTGGTTGTCTCACTGATATTGTCGCTGCTCTTGATTCGTTTTCTCGTACTTAAGTACGATGTGTACACTTTCGAGCAAATTAATTGGGTCTTTCTTTTTTTATTAATAATTTAATCATTTCTACTTTCGCTATTCATCAGTTTCATTTTCTGGTAGTTAAAAATTGAGATTTTTATGCGAGTGTATTAGATAGCGTATACTATTCTCTCATAAATACCTATAACACTATACGACGGTGAAGAAATGAACACTATACCATTACCAGCTTTAAATAACAAAGTAGTTTGAAAGAAGCTGTTACTCCTATTTCACCCTAATAATTTTATAATTTTTTAAACAAAATTCATACTTACATTTCCCATATAATCAATACGAAGTTACGTAGTAACTTTAACGTCTTATGGTTTGGATCTGTTTTAATACTATTATAACAAAGAAAAAATAAATAATAATAAATGGGTGTGCAATTTATTTTGCCATAAGTGTACGATGCGCTACTCTGCCGCCGAGCGCTCAAGATCCGTGCCGGTAACTATACTCGCTGATAATGTAACTTTCCATTGATAAGACTTTTTTAAATCGGTTTATCGGTTTAGTGGTTTAGGCGTAAAAGTGTAACAAACAAACAAACTCACTTTCACATTTATGTATACTCGTTGTACACTACAGTGTGTCAGTGTCACGGTAAAACGCCGCGCTTATTCAATGAATGGCCGCCCGTGCAAACAAAACGCGCCTCGCAATCTCATCACACGCCGTCACACTACGGAATAGAGGGTCCATAATATAATATATAAACAAAAATATCGATAAAAATAAATGTATAATGTAAAATTCTTCAAATCTTTTAAATGTTTATTTCAAAATATTTTTTTATTGTATTTATTTAATATTTACTCTTATATATTCAGGCTAATTATATTTCATAATTATATAATTTACCTGAGGTTTTCATATAACATTAATAATATTTTAAATAATGAAACTTAATAAGAATGTTCATAGCTTTGTCAGAACCCATTGCCTGGGTCCATTAAAGTGTTGAGGATTTGATTTATTGTCGAATGCTATTTTAAATTACGAACTGAGTAGGTAAATAAATTACGTAAAGTACTTTAAAATATTATGTATTAACGCAAGTTAAACTTTTATGGCACGTGGGCCCACATAAACTTTTATTTTTGAAACAGATACATCTATTAGTAATACACTGATTAACTGCAGGTCTACAGTTACATCTCTGGGGTGCCTGAACGGTTGATACAGGCGTGTTTGCCACGACTTCATCTAAAGTAACTGGCTTTTCTAATACCTCACCATAGTTGGCTTCAACATATTGCAAGTCGTATCGTGGAAACCAGTTTTTAATTGTACCAATTTTAGTTGCTACTCTATAAACGCCAAACCTGAAGTCTACAACTTTACCAGTGATTGTTTTCGTGTTAAATTTTCCCCTACTTGCCTTGGGGACTGAAAGTAGAACAGTTTGACCAATGTTTAATGGCGCTAATTTATTTAGATTTTCACTATCTATTTCTTCATATGGGCGCTTTAAACCTTGGTTTCTCTCGAGCTCTATAATTTGTTCATTCTTACAAACGTAACATGATATTTTTATCCGATGTCCAAGATCATCATTTAAGACGGCACAAATAACATGCACAGTACTATTACAAGATTTACATTTGTATGCATCGGTTGATTCATTTTCACAAACAGGAGGACTAAATTTGTCTTCAAAATCGTATTGAATATTAAGTGGATCTGGAGTAATTGTATGTACCTCTTCTACTTCTAGTTTAATATTACTAACTTGGAGTTCATCATCTCTTAGAGTGGCTAGTTCTTTAGGATTTGACATTTGCTCGTCAGTCACATTGTTTGTATCATTTTCGGTAGACGTAGATGGGTTGAGGCCACCTTTTGGCGTAAATCCAAAAACTGCTTCATATGGAACTTTTCCTAGTGTACGATCAAATGTAATATTTCTTTGGTATTGTATAAAGTAGCAGCCGGAGGACCAGTTGGTGGTATTATTTTCATTCATCCAGGTTTGCAACTGCGTTTCAACTTGCTCACTATTTCGATGAAAGTTGATTGGTGAATCTAAAGAAATTCTGCAATCCGGCCACATCGTAGATAGTTTTCTTAAAATATTTTCATTAAAGTCATTGCCAAGGTCTGACTTTAGGGTATTCGGTGCGCCCAATGTTAAAAAAATAATTAAGAGCTCTGACGCTATTTCTGTAACACTCGAACTTTTAAGTGGCCGGATTGTTATAAATTTGGTGGCTATGTTCTGGTAAATGAGAAGCCATTTGTATTCCCCATCCGCGCAAGATTGAAAATCGATCATTTCGAATTGCCCTCCTTCCCACAAATTTCCTGACGTGACAAGACGCACTTGCTCATTTCTATAGTGACTTCTTTTTGAGTTACATACTGGACAAAGCTGAACAAAGATCTCCACAGCTTTTTTAGGTATATAGAATTTACTTTTTATGTCCTGGAGCATTTTATCTCGACCGCCGTGCCCGCAAGATAGATGGATTTCAGATAATAAATCAAAATATTGTTCTCGAGGCACAATACGTACCGTCGGTTCAGAGTAGTGCTTCTTTTTGGCAATTAAATACTCTTCACTTGAAGTAGTAATGACTTCATATTTATTCATCCAGTAATAATCTACAGATTTCTTTTTCATGGTCACTTTAATATTTTTTAAATCTCTTATGACTTCAAGTATCCTGTCTTGTGTCCAAGGTTTTTTATTAGACCCTAAAACAATAATGATACCATTTTTATGACAGATAAAAAAAGCATAGTAATATTTTTTTTTTTATAAAGTTACCACTATGTTCGTCGTCATATTCCACCAGTTTTTTATAAAACATTTGTTCAATAGAGTCATTTTCATTATGACACTCCTTGTCGCAACTATTTTTTTGATTTGACAATATTATATCAGTAGCATGAACTGAAACACAGCTGCTAGTCGAAGCCATATTGTTGTGACGCCGCTATCCGTAGCAACAAAGCGAACTTTAGTAATACTATGACGTGCCTGATTCGACACAGGCGAGTCGTTGAACTTTGAATTTGCGGCACGGCGCAACGCGGTCGATACGTAGCCGAAGTATAACTGATTAAGTAAGGCCGGTTTGCAAAATGGCGTCGCTCGTCGTTTTGTGACCTGGCTAGGCGGGGAGTGATGTGGGGAGAGAGGAGGTTATAGCTGTCCCTGTGGAATGGAATATTTTACGTAACTGACGCATCTGTATAAATTTTACAGATGCGTCAGTTACGTGTACAACGTAGCGTTTCATTTGATTACTCTGTACATTTTACACAGCTGTTATCTTTCCTTTGTAAACTTTCCGTTTTGATGTTAATAATTGTCAAATGATAGGATTTTTATATATTATGAATTATTCGTAAGGTATAATACCTTATTACAGTTAATGGTTAAGCATCTTAAGTATACTACGAACTACCTAATATCATTTTTATTGTAAAGTTTTCATTTTTTTCCGGCATGTCATTAATATATTCAAAAACAAGACTACTTGCCGTCAACCGAGCACTTACGTTACGTTTGCTGGACATATGCCTAACACCAGGTCGTCAGACCACCTTGCGACGGCCTAACCACGCCTTTCCAGTACGGGGAAAACGTATAAACTTATATATTTCTAAATACATGTACCTGTTATAGATAATTTTCATCACATAACATTTGACCTGGGTGGGAATCTTAACCACGACCAAACGAACCACTATACCAAAATGCCAGCCAATTATTATGCAAAGTATAAGAAAAGATGTGTCGTGCGAGTATGTTAAATTTTATGTATACTTAAGATTTTTTGCAGCTCACTTATATTACCGAAAAACATTTTAGCTTATTCGAACGAACGTGAATTTTATATTTCTTTTATATATTTCAGGTGCAGTTCGTGTCGATAATCGTCCAATATGTAATGACCGTCAGAGTATCTGAATGTCCACCAGCTAAAGGAGTAGCCATATTTGTTTCTTGCAACACCGGAGTCATTCTCATCTTATTCCTGAACTTCTATCGTCAGAGTTATAATAAGAAAAAGGCAGTCAAACTCCTTAGTGAGGCAATACCAGCAATGTGTATACCGAAAGAAGATTGAATGTGCAAAAAAAAAAAATTGTTATCGTTTATGGCGTGACCGGCCTTTGTAAATAAAATATATTTGAATGTGTAACTTAATAATTAGAAAGAAAAGAAAATATTTCTTCTCTACAATTATTCACTATAAATATTACCTTTTACATATTTAGAAAAGTACTGCTAAGTTCAGCAATAAAACTATTGTTTGGTATATTGAATTTTATATCAATGCATTACGTTTTGAAAAAAATTGTTCTCTATTTCTACCTGTTATTATTTTTTAGTTCATGACCTCAATTTCAGAAACGTCGTGAATCAATAATAATTTGTGAAACATTTGAGATATCTTTTTTTTTTTAGGCAGTAGGCACGTCGAAAGCGATTGAACTGAATTGAAACTAAACGATTTAAGATTTTAGGGCTGTAAAAATAAAAAAAATGGTGCCAAATAATTTGAATAAAAAAAGTACTTGCATAAAACAAATTGTTCACTTAGTTAATAACACGTTCTTGTTCTTATTTCGAAAATAAGAACCTCATAGGTATTTCAGTTCAGTACAATAAACAGATGTTAGAAAGGAGTTGCCATTTTTAGTGTCGGTCGTATAGACTATAAATTAATGTTACGCGCTAAAAACTTGTAACTTTGTACAGTTCATTTTTAAGTAATTATTTTACAGTGACTGCGGGTAGATCAACTAAAATGTATAACATTATTAGAGGTGATAGGTGTCATCAAGAATAATTGAAAATCATGGTAATGATTATATTACAAAAATAATTAATCGTCTATTGAGTGGCACTCTGTATATACATATAAACATCGTTGTTTTAAAGACTGATTTAACCTATACTTTTAAAACGTCTAATTACTTCCTGATTTGTTGGAAGTTCTGTTCTGTAACATATATTTATTGAATTTTTCTCTCTCACTAAAAGCTATATTAGAACAGAGAGAGAGAGAGAGATAAATGAACATGCAACAAAAATTAGTGGTGCTTTTTTTTTACTTCGAGTAACTCAATAGACGGTAAATGAATAAATGAATAAAATATATAAATCTGGTTGTCAGATTCTTAATTTATTTTTAGTATATTTCTAGTGAATTTTGGTACTTAGTTAGTTATTTAACTTCTAGTTATTATTTTTTTATTATTCATTTATATTATAAAACTCCGTACTATTGAAATCAATATTAAGGTATGCATTCTGAATACAAATCAACAGTAATTAATAATTTTATTTACATTGTTATATTTCTGTTTAGTCATATTGAAATTGTTGTTAAATATATCAGAAATAAATAAAATATCTTTGTATTTTTTCTTTTTTTTTTGCCTTTTGCAGTTGCCTTTTATTTTTTTACATGTGGAAACCCCCTTGGGCCGTCACCCCGAGGGGGTTTACGGCAGAGTGGTGTGTGGAATCGAACCGACTAAAACCACACTGTGTGCCACTCCGTGCCTGTAATAGGAGGGATCCGGGAACTGCTGTAATTAAGACCTGCAATGGCGCGTACACCATTTTCGTGTATATTCCCCATTTAGGCGACGTCCGGCACACGCTGGCCCGTTATGGCGGGTGGAGGGAAAAACCCGTCCCGTCCCGTCTGCCGCCTCCAAGTCCCACGGGGGTGTTCCGTCCAACGCGCATGCCGCCCCCTTCGATACGGTGCGGTAACCGCGTAGTGCTCAAACCGCCAATATCCTCTGAGGGTGCCAGATGCGTGCCCTATTCTGGGCGGTCAAAGCCGCGGCCCACACCGGTGCACCGTAGGTACAGTGCAGTGCTATTGACTGGATAACCCCCGTGTACAGCCGCCTTGTCGCGACGCTGGCTCCATCCGAATTGGGCAAAAGTCGCCCTAGGGAATAAGCAGCGCCGACCAGCTTTGGAGCAAGCTGTTGGAAGTGCTCGTCAAAGAGTCACCTCCCGTCAAGAATCAGGCCGAGATACTTAATTTGGGCCTGAACCGGTACAAGGACCGAATCGACCAGGATGGAGGCGCCGGTTACCGGACGGGGCCCATAGAACAAGAGGGCCTCCGTCTTCTTCAGGGCCACCCGTAAGCCCAGCGCCTCAATGCACCCGACCACCAGAGAGACTCCCCAGCAGCCCCCCCAGCAGCATTATGGGCAATGGTCACCTCTTCTTTAAATGCTGAGCCACCCATTTTCGTTTTCAGGAATTACCACCGAATTCCTTGTAATATCGAATACACCAATACTCACACATTGTGAAATTTTAGTAAGAATCTTTATATGGTAATGGAATGTTAAATACGCGTTCCGTTGCCAGCCGACTTCGGCAGGGTCTCCATGTATGGGAGGTGTTGAGACCATCATTAATATATTTTAAAATACTCAATGATTAAATAGGGATACATTTATATAAATTATAGGCTACACACCACAACTGTTGTTCTCATGAATACCTGAATAGACTTTAATCAGAAATTGTATGTTCGTAAATGGAGATCTATGTAAAATGAATCTCTATTTACGAAATAAAATAACAGTTTATTTGCATGGTAGTGAATACAGTTATTTGAATGTATTCTCCACATTTTTTATTGACACTGAGAACTTTCGATAAATTCAGTATATCTCTTGGTATAAGTTTATGTTAATATACAATAAGACATAACGCGATTTTGAATAAAAAGTAGTTCTCAGATTTTAAAAAATCATCGAGGTCCAATAGAGCCCATCCAAGTATGCCGAAATTCACAGGGACTTTCCCTCTAGAGTATATCCATAATAAATCTCAGTGAAGACTTGGTAGTTATAATCTGTTTGAGTACGATACAGGTAGTATTACCTGGCCGTTACTCTAAAGGCGATAATCCCGTGAAATGATGCACACTAAAAAAATATTCTATGGACTTTTCTAAGTGATACATGTGACCTTATTAATTATTTAACGTGATAAATAAACTTCTATAGTGTGCAAAATACTAAGGTATTTAATACTATAGGCACTTATAGCATTGTAAGTCTAGGTTAAATACTATAATATTTAAACAAAATGTGTCTGTGTCCTATTGCTATGCTATGTATATAAGGAGTAATATGACTATTTTCTTGAATCACAAAGCTCTGCTCAATCATCTTAAAGTTACAAAACAATCTTGGTGCTGTTTTTTTCTGCTAGAAACTCAGCACACCTGAGTTCCATTAGATGCGAGGCGGATCAGTTGATGGGCAGCGATAGATCAAAAATATCCAAATGTTATAAACGAGTCTAATAAACGAAAAGATATATATATATATATATGACGGAGGACCGCTGACGGGGTCATTTTTTAAATAGAGTGACGTCAGAAAAGCTGACGTCATTCTTTAGATTGTTATGGTTTCCCTTTATAAAAGTTTCTTCTTATAGCCTGCATATAGAGTTTGCTTTGTGTTGTTTATTACATAAACACAATCAATTCTGTTTATCTAGGTTCTCGAAGGTTTCTCGGAGGGTCTCGTGGGTTTCTGGGAGGATTTCGTAGATTGAAAAAATTCTCGTAGAGTTATTAGCAATAATTGAATTTGAGTAGCTTACCCTTTACTCTGATGATCTGTCTTTAAGCAGTAAGTTGTGAGTTGATTATGTTTCTCGAGAAGTTGATTGAATGCGCTCTCAATGGTGCAAAGGGTTAAAGTTGTATTTTAAATGATTGTGTTTCCCCTCTAACTCAACTTTTGTGAATGTTGATCAAGTAAACCATTGCGTGATGTGGGTAGCACGTATTCATACCATGGCATCGAGGAGTGAAACAAGGGGATATTTCCCCGAAATTGTTCACAAATGCAATTGAAGATACTTTAAGACGCTGAACTGGGAAGGGCGCGTTATCAACATCAATGGTGACTCCATCTCTTAAATGCGATTTGTAGACGACATCGTTTCCATGGCAGAGAGGCTGTATAACCCAGCCGACTCCTTTGTACGCATCGGCCTACGGATAAACTGTGATGAAACTAAGGTCATGAACATAGCATACCAGGTTAGCAAGCTGAGCTGAGCTAAGCAACTGATATTTTTTTTATCCTTTTTCGATCCTGATTACGTTTTAACCGTAGTGGGTTTTTTAAAATTTAAATTTTGCTTTTTATATTTATATATGACCAATATGCGTAAGAACCTTCAAGTCCATGTGGATTATAGTAACTAGGCCACCTGCTACTAGGACTACGAGAACTTCGGCTTTTGAAGTAAAATTTGCTTTCATTAAGTAATGTAAATCTCTATGTGCCTACAAGCAAAAGAACAGAAGTCCAGAACTTTAACATCTTATGTTTAATTAACATTGATTTGTTTTTAAACATATAAATGAGCAGTCGGCGGGTCAACCGATGGTAAGTGACGACCTCCACCCATGTTCGCCAAGAGACACAATTATTTTGCCGTGGTTTGGGTCCCCCTTCCCAGGAATAGGGGGAGGGGAGGTTTTGGACATCAGTCACTCGGTGAAAATCAACAGAAAGTTTCCTTAACACCGGTTTTCAGTGAGACTATGACATCACTCCCGTCGACCCGTAAATCTAATATTGCAAAGGCAGGTTGGTCCACGTTAAGGTCGCCGCACTATGGGCATAAACGTTTTTTTTTCTTAAAATCGTAAATCTCCTGAACGAAAAGAGATAAGATGATAAAAAAATTATGAGCTTGTAATTAATTGTATATGGATTATAGGAAAAATATAACGAACATTTGCAAGTTGTCCCTAATATAACAAAAAACGGTTAAATTACGATGAAAATGGCTGTTTTTATATTCGACATCCGAACAAAAGAAGATAGGATGACATAACTTTTTAGAGCATTTGGCTCATTGAATTTTGGTTAAAAAAAAATATACCAAACATGATCAAGTCGTTTCCTTTCTTCGTTACGTTCCTGTAACACGTACGTAACATCTGTTTATCCTGCAATTGGAGACATCTAGAAAGGGGTAAATAATACAAATGCCGATATAAGAAACTTAAATAGAGGCTTTTTCTATGACGAAGGAAGGTAGTTCACATTTTCAGATGTAAAATTATTAAAATACTAGCTGTACCCTACCAAGCTTAGCTGTGGTACATTGTGGTTGCATTGATAGAAATGAAGCACAAATCTGATGTGAAAAATAGATGAGAACCCTCTTTGAATCGTGTTGAATATCGTGTTAAAATTTAAACTCATTTGGTACAAAACTGGGGATGTGTGAAGATATTAATATTATTCTTTTGTTTTTAAGGCGTGAAAAAAAAGCCATGTTAACATTTTTATATATACAGATATACCAAGGAAATAAAACAAAATTAACATTTCTAATTGCATATAATATTAAGTATTATAAACCCAATCACGTAAATATACACAATTATATAATGTGAGAACGTGCAACTACAATTACAAGGTAATTGTGTTTCGAGTGTTGCACACGCAGCAGATTCGAACGCTTTATTCAAAACTACATTTTAATTCAGTCACCAAAGTTGTTCGAAATTTTCGTCCTACTATGCATAACATCACTTAATTTCTGTGATAGATTCCACTATCCAACAAATGTAAAATTTTAATATTACAAGTCTTATTTAAAATTCGTATAAAATGTTATTTTGATCTTAACAATATTTATCCTATAAAATTGCAAGATCAACTTTTACTAATTGCGATTGCACAATTAAGAAAAGTATTTTCAACATTATAATATATATATTACAGAAGGCTTTTACTAACGAGCAATAATGGCTAACCCAAAAATTAGGAATACAATACATGTCAAAAAAGAAACAGAAATATGTACATAAAACTCTGAACAAAATATTGCCACCGTTGTTATAGATACAGCAAGTTTTGTTACTTGGCGTTATGACTGCCTGTACCTACAATAATAAAGGCGGAATGATAGCATATAGATGTTTTTATTATGATTAACGCTACAAACCATAGCGAAAAACAAAGCATTAGCTATAAAGTTTTAAATGTACATATTAAAAAGCTATATATCTACACGGAAGACTGTGAATTTATCACAATTTAAATTTCAATTGACATGATATTCAGTTTAGAAAACCAAGTTTGTAATTACACGTTTACACTTTTATTTATTTAGTTACCTCGTACAATGAAGTGAAAAATAGCACTAACTTATTTAAGTTATAAGTGTTCAACAATTTTAAAAAAAAAGCTACCATTTTTGAATACTTAATAATATTTTAATTTTTACTATTGCTCTGTCATCGAAATAAATTGGTGATTTATAACATTCAACTTATTCATATTCATGAATTACGCATAAACATGTAAGTTTAAAATCATGGCAATATGTATTTCTTATACTAAGACATTATAATCAATAGATTATATACACCGTACCTTCAAGTATAATTAATAGAATATATCACATCTAGCGATGATACTATGGAATGCTACTATAATAATGATAACGTCCTTCCCTTGAAACAAAATTTTAATAATGAAATCGTTGTTGACCTTCTCCTGAATGTTTTTCAATATTACTTTTCTTCATCGCCACTTGCATACTTAGATTTCCAGAAATCCCAGAAATGTGTTCGTCGTTAATTACATGTAATTATCAATATTCAAAATTAGATTAAATTCAAACTAAAATTGGTATTGTTTCTTATGCTATATATTTACACTGCCTTTATTACGTTAATATTGTTTTATTCATCCTTTTTATTTTTAACCTTTCCATTGGATACTTCATTGCCTTCCATATTGCCATTATCGCTACCATTAGCAATGCCATTAGCGTTGCCATTTACATTGCCATTGGTTATTTTTTCTTCTGTTTTGGCTTTCCTATCACCAGGTTTACCATAGGCCTTATAGTAAAAGTCATAGAAGAGGTAGTAGAAAAAGATAGAATTGGGGAGCGTGAATACAACGGACCAGCGGGGGTAACCGCAATCGTAGAAGAGCAGCTGGGATGAGTGTAGGAAGGCGATACAGAACTGAAGCTGAAATGAAAAAATAACCATATTAATTATTTACAACATGTTGCATATAAATTTAAAAATAATAATTTCTTCATTTCTTATCTGATGTATTTGCAAATCATAATATTTGCATCATAAAGAAAATTATAATTTACAGACGTTATTTTTTTATAGTTAGTTTAATTATAATACTTCCTTGTACATAGAAAACATAATATAAAAACATAATAGGTAATTATAAACTATAGTTTATAATTACCTATTATGTTTTTTATTTATTCTAATTTAAGACTTGACTTGACTAAAAAAATGCTACTTCTCCAGTGGTTATGTTATTACAATAATTGCATTTTTATTGAATTTTTAACATAATTTGGCACCTTTGCATGGTGATGAACAAACATAAATTTTATTTTTGGACTTGATTGTCACATCAACAGATCAACAGCCTTTAATAGTCCACTGCTGGACATAGGCCCCTCCTTAGAAAGAAGGTTTTGACCTACTATACCACGCTAGCCAGGCGGGTTGGTATAGGGTTTGTGTCAAGTTTTCCGTCTTTTTGCAGTGCTGGTGTCCTGCGTTGTTTTGCGCCCTTAGTCGGTTCTTACGACACCCACGGGATGAATTGGGGTAGTGACATTCCGTATTCTTAATCCGTCACTACACGGACTTGATTGTAATTGTTTCAGTTTAAGAGAATTACATTACGTACCATTTGCAGCGTGGTGATATACTTTTTCCAAAATAGATACTTTTGGTATTTGGGTCCCATGGCGGAGAACATATAGTATGTGTACATAACAATATGCACAAAAGAGTTCATCACTCCGATAAGAGTACCGTGGCCTCCAGGGAAATATTTGGTAGCTCCCCAGGATATCATGGGCATCACTGTATGATGGTACAAGTGCAGAAAAGTGATCTGCCGATCCTTTTTCCTGATAACGAAGAAAATCGTATCAAGCAGTTCGGAAATCTTCGCTAAGAAGTAGATGTAGACACCTCTTGCCACCTTAAAATAAGTACAAATATTACATGCTACTAATAAAAATTCTAATATTATTTTAACAATTGAAGTAATTTAAAAGCAGATATTATCAGAGACAAATTCGAAGTGCGAGCCATCGAACACGAAATGGGTTCGGCCAGACCTTACGATGTTCTCAACACTTTCAGTCAATAGCCATATGTGCCACGGCTCGCACGGTCTACTGCTTATAATAGCTTGTAGGGGTTCTCAGTATCAGCTTATATTATGTGTCGTCACTAAAGTAGATGTTTCATTTAATCTCCCAAATATTAAACACTAACGACGAGTACAAGTATCCAACGCGAAGTACCCTAAAAGCTGAATATCAGCAAAGTATCAGTAGATTTTTAATCTCAAGGAAGTCCCAGTTATTGATTTAAAACGAAAACTTGATATTCTGCTAAAGGTTAGATGCTTTTAGCTGCCATTTGAACGTCAAGCTCTGATTTGTTAATTTAACACGTAACCCATTTTGATGCTCGGGCTTTTTAACTGTTTTTAAGAGAAACAGTAAATGAATTGGACCATAACTACAGTTACACCGCATACTTTCCCAAACCATGGTTTTACTGATATGAGCACTTTCATCCTTTAACTTTGAAAATTTATTTGTATAGGCTAATGGTTTAGATGAAATCAAAACAGTAAAAATCCTTTGTGTAAATATGTGGAATCTGACGGAGCCCGTGTGGAATAATACTTACAAAAAATCATATAAAAAGTTTGAAAGTAAATCGTGCATGCAGAATTGGTTTAAAAAATAAACTAATACTTACTCTCATGGCTTCTGGTGAATTTGAGGGGTCAACCGGTTGACATTTCCAACTATAACTCCTCAACCAACCCGCATCAAGACCCTGAAAATATATAAAAATACTTGATGTTTATAAATATTATTTGACATTACAATACATTCATTTGACTGCCTCGGTCATGCAATAGTAGCGTATGCGACTACTGGGCTGAGGTCTCGGGTTCGATTCCCGGGTCGAACCAAAGGTTAGTAATATAAGTATTCTATCAGTCAATCTAGCTATTATGGTACAAGCTCTGCTTAGTATGAAACTAGACGGCATTGTGTGTCAGATGCCCGAAAATATTATTTAGTTAGGATCTGTTAGTTTAGTGGTTAGTGATCTTAACTGCTAAAGTAGAGGTTGTGGGTTCGATGTCTACCCAGGAAAAATATTTGTGTGATAAGCACGATCATTTGTCTTGTGTCTGGGTGTAAATATTTATCTATACGTACAATACAAATAAATAAAATTGAAGTGTCTGTTTGTAATGTCAAAATAATAGGTTTATTTCATGCTTACGCGGTTATTTGCACGATAACTATGAATAAAAACCAGTTTTAATATTTTTAGTCTGTCTGTCTGTCTGATTGTTTGTTACGGGTGAACTTCAAAACGGCTGGACCGATTTTGATAGTATTTTACTGTCAGGTAGCTGTCTAAATGTATAAGGAGTAACTTAGGCTCTTTATTCTCTCAGAAAAACCCTATAAAAATTTGCTCGGCCCGGGAATCGAACCCTCTAAAGCGCTTTTCAAACTCCACGCGAACGAAGTCACCAGCTAGTGTATAATATGTTTGTATTTAGGAATATATCAGTATGTTTATCAGCAGTCCGGTTACCGTAGTACAGGATCTGCCTATTGCCTGTGTGAGGTTATTATTATTATTACTACAGTATAAATGCATGGGACTTTGTGAACACAGCACAAGAAGAAGATACTAGGTATCATACACACCTCATGGAATAAAAAACAACTGACAAGAACTTGAATGAAATTATATACGATAAGTGTTTTTTGCAGTTGGAATGGTTTCTTGTCTTCCATGTATCTGGGGCCCCATTTCAGTGAGAAGTAAAGGTAAAGGCCAATGATGGTAAGGCCTGGCATCGGATCGGATATCAAGGGCCAATGGTTTGTTCTCTGATCTGGAAAATAGAACATTAATTTATTAATACCATGTATTCTAACTGTAGGTTGGAGTTAGGGATGGAAAAAAATTAAATTACATGTGATAAAGATATGAGTTAATAATCATTTCATCACACCTGTGACTCATTTAAAAAAACCACTGCTACTTATTTATTATTATTACTCTAGGGCAGGACTCGCGACAGGTCTAAATCTAAAAAAAAGGTTATCTTTGATAAATCTTTGTGCATGACAAAATCACAATCACATGTGATATGGCTGTGACTAAAAGCAATCATTTCATCAAATGAATATGATTAAACAGTAGCAATAATTTTCATGTCTCGTTGGAGTCATACAATAAGGTGTTTATATCAACTGTAATGTTTATAAAAGTAATTTTGTTGGTACATATCACATATATTTATCTGAATTATTACTCTTATTCGGAATAGTACTATCGTTTTATTTTTAGATGCCATTTTAATTTTGTTATTTAGATTAGTGTGTAGTGTGTGTCCGTGTGGTGACGGTTAAGAATACAGAGTGTCACCACCCCTATTCATCCCGTGGGTGTCGTAAGAGTCGACTAAGGGAAAAAACTAAGCAGGACTGTTATCCTGCTTAGTTTTTTCACTGCAGAGAGAAGGAAAACTTGACACAAACCCTTTACCAACCCGTCTGGTAAGCGTTGTATAGTAATTAGTCATCATCGTGGTATAGTAACCTCCTTTCTCAGGAGAGGCTTATGTCCAGCAGTGGACTATTAAAGGCTGTTGATGATGATGATGAGATTAGTGTATTATGATAAAGGAACTGCACTAATCAATTTTTCTGGTATTTATTTTCGTCACGCATCGCTTGTCTAGATATATTTATGTGAAATCGGTCATCGGCATCAATGTGTTAATAATTAAATAATATATTCTTCATAGTACTAAAAAACTCCTGGTGATATTTTTACTAATAGGTTTGTGCCTTGTAAAAATATCTGAAAAGATTTACTTGCAGAAATAAATATCATTTCATTTCTTATGTATAATTTATAAAATGTTAAATTATACGTCATACAGTAAAAGTCCAAGAAGAGAAAATGTTCGATTGTAAAATTACGCGGTAATATACATGGTGTCGTTACTTATAGGGTATGAATCACCGATGAGATATGGGTTTCACCTCAGTTGCTATATATTATATCGTTACTTTCACTTTTTTAAACTGCCTTACTGCCTACGTATCTTGTTTTGGGTCAAGTATCACTCCTTGGGGTACACCTTAGCCAACTAAGTTGTAATATAAACTGTACTACTCAAGACATTAGGCCTATATTCCTAGTATTGTATACATTGTTTTCTTTTGTAAAAGGGAAATTATGCAAAAGCTTTAGTATGAACTATTGTAAGTACAACAGGCGTCAATTTATATGATGGATGCTAACTTTGACAACTAAAATATCTTGTCACAGGTTAACAAAGCTACAGTTCCAACCACAAAATAAGCGTGTCAAAGCTATCTGTTGAAAGTAACATGTTATTATACTACATGGTATAACATGGTTGGTAAAATTACAAATAGGCCACAAAGGTATTTTGTAATACCATTTAAACGTAACTGTAGTGTAACTGCTACTTAAAATGTTTTGCGGGTGAAGAAACCATGGCTTTTAGAAATACTTTGATACTGCGTAACCTTTTAAAATATAATTAATAATAGTTGGAACATCATCGATAAACATTGACGTAGTAAAATAACATTGTTTTGAAAATTATCATCAACTGCCTCTCCTCATCAGAATTTTAATTAGTGTCAGTGGATTTTAGCTAGTTTCTTTATATTCCAGGACCCTGCCTGCGCCAAACTTCCTTAAGATTGTAATCATTTCCACAAAGGACGAGAGTAAAATGGGGTAAGGAAAGAGCGTAGGAGCTGGGGTAAGAGATACTGCATGTCTTAGATGGAGAAACAAGACTGGCACTACAATAACTCGAAGGTGGGTCGTAGGCCAGGGTCGCGTACCGGAAGGCCTGGGGCTGAAGCCACTAAGGCTAGTACATCAATTATTTGGAAACAGTTATTTGATATTTAAAATGTAATAATTGAAAAGTGTACTCTTGGAGATGGTAACAATTTTAAAACCTTAAGAGATGGATGACCTAGGGTGATCATCTCTTAAGGTTTTAAAAGGAGAATTAGGGAGAGAATAAATATGAATTAACTTGAGATTTCAACGACAGTTATTGTTCTTAATATCGAAATAACTTTTAATTGTCTTGTAAAGTGGTGTTGATCCCATTTCAACTTTACTTTCTATAATAATTGACATTTATATTTTTTTATTAATATTATAAACTCTGACTTACCGGCCAATTCTGTGAATAAACGATGGTAGGTCCTAGAGAACGAATTATTGAATAACGCCATCTCTTATTGGTTTCTGGTATTAATCACAAAACAAAGTCGACTTTGTCATGAAAGGCTCATCCACATTTTATTTTTGACTATCTGGTCCGTCTGTAACAAAAAAAAATTAATGTTAAATACCTGATCTACTTACATTGCTTGTAATAAAAATATGCTAAGCTCGTTATGTCAATACATACATGAACACAAATATATAGACTTAATCATAACAAAATACCATCATAGTTATTAAAATCACATCACACATCACATCAACAGCCTTTAATAGTCCACTGCTGGACATAGGCCTCTCCTTAGAGAGGAGGTTTTGGCCTACTATACCACGCTGGCCAGACGGGTTGGTACAGGGATTGTATTAAGTTTTCCTTCTTTTTGCAGTGCTGGTGTCCTGCGTTGTTTTGCGCCCTTAGTCGCCTCTTACGACACCCACGGGATGAATTGGGGTAGTGACATTCCGTATTCTTAATCCGTACACGGTTTAAAATAACTTGAAGATAAAAAAGCATAGGTATTACATCACAATCAAAATCTGATACTACACCAAGATACATAAACGTGATAGATTATTATAGTCACACTAGAGAACATATAATTTGCGATAGATTTTTAAATAACTGTTGACTGAAAAAAAAAACAGTCTGGAGCTTTTTTTTAATTTCAACACTGATTATCACAATATAATGAAAATAATTATTTTACCTAAACTAATTATATGATAGCTGACGTAAATAAAATAAGACGTGACACTCACACGCTTTATTTTATTTATATCAGTTTTCCTTTGTTTAAAGTTAAAGCAATATATTTATTTGTGCATACAAACCCGTCTCAAGTAATTTACATTATTAATCTATTAGAACTTTAAACTATTTAACGTCCGGTATCTAACATCATAGAAAAGCCACTACCTGAAACACAGGTCACACACCTAGCTCAGGTCGATTGCAAAAGAATTTGTAATATTTTGATTTTACTTATTTCTATTATCTATCACATCAACAGCCTATACTAGTCCACTGCTGGTCATAGGCCTCTCCTTAGAAAGGAGGTTTTGGCCTACTATAGGCCAGACGTGTTGGTATAGGGTTTGTTTCAAGTTTTCCTTTTCTTTGCAGTGCTGTTGTCCTGCTTAGTTTGCTCCCTTAGTCGGCTCTTACGACACCCACGGGATGAATTGGGGTGGTGACAATTTGTATTCTTAATCCGTCACCACGTCTATTATCTATAGCATATACGTATTTTAGAAAAGTCGTATATTATACTAGTATAATGATTGCCTTAGTAATAAGGCTTATATAAAAATCTAATGACAATAAGATGTAAATCAAACACAGAATGTAATCAAGACCTTATTCTGCAAATATATTTCATTGGTAAGTTAAAGAAATTGGGCAAAAGTTTCAGATGTACGAGTATGAAGATCATAATCAACTGTATTTGTGACCGAATAAAGACATAAAGACAAAAAAAAGACTTCACAAAAAGACATAAAGACTTCCTCTGATTTCTAAATAGATAAAGTCATTGCGAATACACGAATAATAATAAAGGTTTTTTATGTATTTATAATTCACTGTATAAATAAAATATCTTCAGGTTTTCTTAATAACTGCAAAAAGTTATAAAACGTTATTTAAACATAAATTACATATATTTAATACTTGGAAACTGAAAAAAAACTGAATGTATGTATACATGTATTCTTTATTATTCTAAGAATCTAAGTTATACATGGTATTCTCCTCATTACCTCCTATTATTAAGTTACTGAGAAAAAAGCCAAGTTTCAAACTTAAATGTATATAAGATTATTTGTTTAAACAGGAAATACCCGAAAATTATTTCATTTCATCTTTTTACTAACCAGATTTCAAAAGTATGTGTAAATGACTAAAAATACATTTTATTCAGGCAAATGCAAGTGTTTATATATGATAACATGCTGTTTTTTATATAAATTAAATGAGTGAAATAATCACTATTGATTTTTGAATAATCAAAAGATTTGATTAAACATTATGATAAACTGAGCTAAAGCTAAGAGCCGACTAAGGGTGTACACTTTGCAGGACAATATAACTGAATAGAAAAGCATTCTCCGCGTAAAAAAAAAAGACAATAGAACTGCAAAGAGAAGGAAAACTTGAAACAAACCCTATATCAACTCGTTTGGCCAGCGTTCTAAAGAGAGGCCTAAGTCCAGCAGTGGACTGTTATAGGCTGTTGATGATGATGAGCTAAATTCTGGTGTCTTTTGGTGATCGTTCGTTGAACTCTAAATATTTACGATATCATAAGGAAATTCGCCGAAAGCTATGGACATTAGTAACTTACTTTGGCCATTATCTCCGTTTGATATCAAATTAAAAAGAATAGCAATTAATTAAGTTTTAAATTTAATAAACTTTTAAAAAGTGCTATAAACACATATAAAGCATTATTTATTAAAAATATATAAAGAAGAAATTATATGAAAAATTTTGTTACTTAACCTGTGCAAGCATCTACAAAATCTTAAACCAAAACGCCTAGTACTGTATTAGGGCTGTCAGCTTTAAATCTATTTCATCTTATCATAAACAAATAACTAAATTCACTTATAATGCAATGTTCAAACATTTGTTAATCACTATAGGAAGACCTAATATATCACAACACCATTTTTCGTTTAAATAATTATTGAACGATGCGCGCGCACCGCCCGCAATCTGTAGCTCGACTGAGCTTTTACCCCATTTCTCCCTACATTGCAGTGTTAAGCGGAGGGGAGTTTTTGAAGGGCGGTGATAGGTTGTACAGGTTGATGTATAAAGAGTATTTCTACTTTTCATTTTATTAGTACTATAAGGGAGAGTTTGAATACGCAAGGCGGAGTTTCGAGGGCTTTGGCGCACTTTGGAAGGAACCTATTCCCTGCACTGTGTTGAACTGCAATACTGAATTATTGATTTATGTATTGTTATTAATGTTATACAAAAGACTGATATTCGTCAACCACTTTTTGTAGAGCCTTGAACTTAATTGAAACTTTGTGTACGTTTTTCCCGACCACCATAATACCTGACCTTCTCATATTGCAGATGACAATGTAATTTGTGTGCATAATATCTACGTAATGATAAAAATTTTAATACGTTTGCTTCACACGAACAATTTGAAAAGATTACATAGAGATTGGAGTTAAGATACTAAGAAGTATCGTTAGCTTAAACAAATCTAAATAAAACAACAAGTATTGGTTAAATTTATAGTTCTAAAATGTATATAGTTTATAGGTATATCACAAATCGGATATATTCTTTTATTTTAGTCTCATTCTCCTCCTGGCACTTGCCGTATTATAACTATTTCCCCTTACCTAAATTAGCTTTTTTGCTATGTCCAGCCTTTAAGCCAACCGTCCCGTGTAACATCTACCATCCATTGCAATATTACACATCGAGCAGACCCCAATAATAATTGTTAAAAGAGAGAGGAATATGAGATTGATGTACGGTTTTCCGATCCCAGGCTCCAATGCCTAGATCCTATTCTATGATAACTATAGTGTTGATAAGCCTATTTACTTCTATTTGTATGTGGAAAAAGTAACGTAAAAAAATAACACCCATACATAGAATAAATTTTAGAGTTCATTCATCAACCTCTAACGTAGTAGTCAGTCTATTTGTTGATGTACTAAGTGTGTACTTGTTAACTGCTTAACAGGGCATTTTAGAATATTGCACACTTTTTGCGTAGAAAGAAGATCTTGGAGTAACTTAATCGAGAAAAGAAGTTTTTACAAAAAGAACATTCATAAAATAAAAACCGGTGTAAGCCAGTTTTTCTTTTCGATTGAAAAAACGTCTAACAAGACAGCAGTATAAAATGATGCTAATGTTAGAAATTTATAAAAAATATATCCACAAAACAACCACCCCTGTAGAGTTTGGGGGTGGCAACAACCGACGCCTCCCCGATATAAATAGAACGAGTGAATACTCATTCTATTTATATCGGAATATGTGTGTTATGTAACGTTATTAATGAAGAATGAGCTACTTTTTATAAATAAAGCTTTTAGAAATAAAGGTCAAATTTTTTTATAAAGACATTTTGCCGCTGTCGCGTTCATCATCATCATAGCCTCTAACAGTGCACTGATGGACATAGATCTCTTCTTAGAAAAGAGGTTTTGGCGTGCTATACCACGCTGACCAGACATGTTGGTGTAGAGTTTATGTCAAATTTTCCTTCTTTTTGCAGTGCAGTTGTCCTGCGTAGTCCCTTAGTCAGCTCTTACGACACCTACTGTTCATTCCACACCTACCTACTGTACCACCTACTGTTCATTTCACAGGGTCCATATTCTTAATCCGTCACCACAGGGTCAGCACAGACCACAGGTTAGCAGTCAGGGCCACTAAACACTAGACTTCGAACTGTCTGAGTGGAATCGATTACCAAATTAAAACATTGCTGTACTTAATACCTCACAACGGATAAACTGTAATGTTTAAGTAGTCGAACATCCTTTTATTGGCAATCAATGAAGGCACTATTGTGTAAATGGTCGTTCTGATTGCTCATTAATATTTATTTGCTCAACACTTACAAATGTGTTAGTAGTGTTTTATAACGCAATCTATATATTCGAAAAAAACATGAAATTTGAACCGTCCAGCTGTTCATCTAATGGACTTCCTTATTTATGAGTCTAATAACTGCCCCTGTGTTGACGGATTCAGAATACGGAGTGTCACCACCCCTAATCATGCCGTGGGTGTCGTAAGAGCCGACTAAGGGAGCAAACTACACAGCACTGAAAAAAGAAGGAACATTTGACATAAACCCTGTTCCAGCATGGTATAGTAGGCCAAGTTTCTAAGGAGAGTACTATGTTCAGCAGTAGACCATTAAAGGCTGTTGATGTGTTGATGATGAGATTGTAAGTCTTACTCGTTTTTTGAATTTATCAAAAAAGTCCGGCTTCCGTACTTAATATCTGTCATGTGCTT